AAAGACAAACTCTAATTCCTTCTTAATCCAAGGGCTTACCCGAAATTAAATACAACGGGGAAAGAAAGATAGAAGTCTATGCCCTCAAAAAAAGTGCAAATTTTGGGGCTGAATAGTTCGCACAATTACACTGGCATTTTCATTAACTGGTATTTCATTATTTCGTTACGCTTAGCAACTAATTAGGTTACTTTTAGTAATAAATGCTCGAAGAGACGCCCCGAGACTTCCCTGAAGAGGCAAGAAGACATCATGTTCAAACAGAACAGGTATCGTAGATGTAGAGAAGGGCTTGGGGGTTGTTGGCAAGGCCAAGAAGTCAGATCGCTCCATTATGCTAGTGTAATACAATAGTGGTTTATCCCTTAATTTTGGTGAGGCGCGACTTTTAGACTTTGAATTAGCCCCCTTGTACCTCGCTAAGTGGGCTGGCCTTTTGGGCCATGCCAATAGCCCAGACACCTTCTCCGTGCTGAATATATATATTCTGCCCGAGTATTGTGTCTTCTTTCGTCTTCAGGGAGTCTCGGGACGCTACATTGGTGGCAGCGGAAAGCAAACCCGATCTTAAAGGACATGTATCCTGATTTTCCACTTCTGTGTGATAAGCCTTGGTGGAGCGGAAGAAGTACATATGCTACGGACGGGAGAATGGTGATGACCCCTAATAGAAGGGTTGAAGTTGACGTCTACCTTCGGCATCTCTCCCTGTCCCGTGTTCTGCAGAAAAGCTCTTAACAACTGAAGCGACACTAGCCGTGAACTGTCTGGAAGTTTTATGACGGATTTTCCCTACCGTCCCCCATGGACCTGTTTTAAATCTTCTACTTCCTTACTCAAATCTGCTTTTAGGCCAGTGTTCCTGCATCCATCTATGGTCAAGCATGATGGCCGGCGCAGTACCTTGTCCTGAATCAAATCCCTAAACCGGACGAAACCCCAGATCCAGTCAAGCCGCCAAGAGGGACCAGTGACGTTGAGGTCAAGTATCCTTTCAGTTGCGCACTAATTTGGTGACTGGCACGGTCGGCTCGTGGGTGTTTCTTTACTGCACCGACTACGTTGTAATGGCTGACGCGGGAGGTTGACCTGTGGAAGCGCCGGGGACGACGCTCAAAAGAGGAGGGAGGCTATGCAATACAATAGTGGTTTATCCCTCGGTTTTGGTGAGGCGCGACTTTTGGACTTTGAATTAGCCCCCTTGTACCTCGCTGGGTGGACTGGCCTTTTGGGCCATGCCAATAGCCCAGACACCTTCTCCGTGCTAAATATATATATTCTGCCCGAGTATTGTGTCTTCCTTCGTCTTCAGGGGGTCTCGGGACGCCACAATAGTGTTCCTAAGTAGCCCGTTAACAAAAGCGAGAGTTACACAAACACTTTCAAATGTCACGACAACGGAAGTGACGTGTACCTAACCTCTGATACATGTAATTAGTCGTATCAGAACCAGCTGTGAAGGCGTATCGTCTTCTGTAAAGCTACAGCTAGATAGATGGATGGGCAGGTACCCATATGGTTAGATAATTCGTTGGCGAGATAAGTGGGTAGGTAAATGGGTAGACAGATAGATACTACTTTAATTCTCTGTCAAAAGGAGATATGCGTTAAACGTTTAGAATATTTGGTTTATGATAAACAAAAATACACAATGCGTTGTAAAAATAAAAAATTCTTTTAATGAAATCATAACGCAAAATACTAAACATGCATTTCTTTATCGTACACAATATAACATAATAAGGCAGCTGTTTTGTTCAGGGTGCTATTACTAAAAAAATTATTACCCATGGAAAGGCCTTATTGTATTAAAATATTTGTATTTGTATTTATTTGACTACATCACCGAGCTTTCTTCATGCTGCCGCGCTTGGGTAAAGTTGCGTTCCGATTATTTAGTTATAAACTTCTAATGTGAAACAGAATTTCCATCAAATTCGCCATTGATAGGAATCAGTAAAATTTTCCACTGTTTTTAATTCACCTTGAGAAACTGCAAATTAGAAATACAGGATGCGAGAGATCTGATTATTAGATATTGCACTTGACAGGATTTTTCTGTGTTAAGTGTGGAAAATAGCCTAATTTGATCAGTTTCCAGGGCTTTGCAGCGTTGGCGTTACACTCGTTCCTGTTGAAATAGGATCTGTTGGTAACTTGGTTAATTTTTTAGGGGTCCTACTCTGGCCAGCAGTTTTGGTTACCTAGACTTGCCTAACGTGAGAAGCGCTTGCCTTCTGGAGGACTTTTAGATTTTGGTGTGTCTGAAAAGACTGATTGTAATGGGCAATCACTGCAACTTCATATTAACTAATATTCATGGGTGAATGCGGTTGTTGGTGAGAAAATTTGTTTGATCGACCTCTTAATTTGTGCATTTAGGGTGAGGTAACTTCGGAGTATGGCGCTATATTGTAATGGACTACCCTCTCCGTATTGTCCCTTCCCAATTTGGGTAGGTGGTTACGCCGGCACCTTTCCCTTCACAGCTGCGGTATTTTTGGAAGATCACGGACGTTTGTGATCGTTTGTGGTCTTGATCGTAAAGTAGAGTCTTGGATAGATAAGCAACTGGGGAAGTGGATAAATGGTCGGTTAGATAGCCACCGAAATTGGGTTTTGGAGAGATGGGGAATCAGAAATTCAAAGACGTGGCGAGGCTGGGACTCAGCTGAAGAACTAGGTAAATTTAGAGTCTTTAGAATTGGAGAAGAAGTGAGGTTGGTGTGTAGCGATCTAGCCAACTTCAGAAATAGAGAGTAAGATTGGATTCGGGAATAGATTGCTGCACGGTGAGCGAGCCAGGAAGCCAGATCTGTGTGGGCTGCAGGTAGGTGACTTGATTACTGGGTATGTGAGTTAGTTAGTCAGGGAGCTTGGATTTTGGTGAGTTTGGTAGCTGAAGCAGTTAAGAGTAGGGGGAAAGTAAAGCTTTCAGGTTGTGTGCAGCCACCTGGCTGCAGTCATACCTTTATTCCAAGTGAACTCTTGTGTATGAAACTCTCCTTTTTACGGTTTTTGCAATAGGTCTAGGGAGCCAGAGGGGTTGCGACGTAGTTAAAAAGAGAAATATGTTTTTAGGGAGCAGTTCATTGGAGAACTGGGTAGGTAGTAAGGTGAGAAACTAGAAAACTTGAGAATAATTTAGAAAGGTGGTGTAGCAGGGTTTTAAGGAGAGAGCAGTGGAGATAGGAGGGATCCAAGTAGTGATCAAGTGTTCTGGAGAGATGTAACACAGCAGTGGGGTGGACTAATATCCAACCAAATTTGCAAAGTGAAGGCTAAAAATAAATCTAGGGAAGTGTTGCTGTAGGGAGATAGGAGTCCATGAGGTTGCAGATTAAGTAATTTTGTTGGAGGCGAGGGCCCTTCTTTACCAACGACGGAATTGGTGACCATGGGAGTGCAGCAGCCAAGGCTTAAAAGAAGTTATTATTGTGATGATCTGTTGAAACAAATATCAATTTCTAGTAGCAGATGTATATGATTTATAAAATATAAATAAAAAATTTAGTTAGTACATGAAAATAAACAAGCATTACCACTGGATACAGAAGGAGAGAAAGTGGATTTAAAAAAGATTGAATAAATAACAAAAAAAATGTAAAGACACAGGATAAAGTAAAATAAAAAAATGTCAAAAGAAATAAGTGAAAATACGCGAAATGAAAACAAATGCATCTTCAAATGGTTAAAGGGCGCATTAAAAATTTCAGGACAATAGAGATAAACGCAGAAGAAAACGAAAAAATCGGGTTAAAAAATTCACTATAATTACGATAATATTGTCCGGGAAGCAAGAGCGCATTCTAAGGTGGATAAATTAACCTAATAGCGCTCCTCCGCAACCATTCCATTGACAACATTGATAGGTATCACAGTTCCCTTTACATTCTTTTGCCATCATTATGCTTCTTCTGCTCACAGTTAATCGTTTGCAGTTCCACTCATTCGCTCCCTCCCCACTTAAGTCTCATCTGCGGCTTTCAGTCGGAGGATGGTGTGACCAACTCGAAGTATCGAGCACGATTTAATGTCGACTACGACATTAAGTTAGCCAATGAGGTATCAAAGTGTGACCTGCCTGATCATCTGGCTGAGATCCGGTGATTGGATGTGGATGAGCAGGTGGAGAGGTGACAGTTATCACGCCGTCATTGTTAATAACAGTGTCTCCACTGACATTACACCAACTCTTAACCATCTATGCTGCGACTGTGGAGATGGACGTCGATGTGGATGTGGACGTGGGTGCAGTGGAGATAGGGCCGGAGGAACAGCACCACATGATCTTTAGCTCAAAGACCTTGGCGAGTGACACTTCTTGAGCAACTACGTGGTGTAGCAAATGGATGCTTGCAGAATGGGAGTGCGGATAGCTAGGTGGGTGTGGGAATGGGTGATGTGAAGAGTATTGACATAGACGTGTGGATAGATGGATAGATAGGTAGATGATAGGGAGAAGGGGAACCGGTGCTTATAACCTCATTTACTGCACATCTCTTCCCCTAGCCGCTAGCCAGCAGCCCTCGACTCTTCCACGTCTTTCAGTAAGTTTGCATTCTTTCCTTTCTTCTGTCCACTTTTCTAACACCTTTCTCACCCTTATGGACTCACTCCAACCTCCTGCTCTTCTCTCATTTTAGTAATCCAAACGAATGTCAAGGCATCTGCAACATCTCTTTTCTTCCTGCTGCTCTCTCCAATCCCGGTTTGACTGATTTCTGATTAACAAGATTATTTATCGTCCTGTGATTTAGCTGGTTCCCTAACTGACTATTTAACTAATTAATTGACTCCGCCACTTTTTCCTCGCTTTCCTATGAACTGTGTTATTGGTCCACTGATTATTAATAAGGTGATTGCTTGTTTCGGTCGGCAGTTGTACTTGATCACAGATGGGAATGATGCGATCCGAGTACGAGGCAATACACCATCATTTGCCCTTGAATGCCAACCAGTCTGAGGTGAAGACCAGCCATTCGAATGGTGCGATTGGTGAAGGGATGACAGTGGAGTAAATACTTGGACATGCTGAATTGACAGATGTGAGTGGATGGAAATGCGGTGGTGAAGAAACCTTTTGGTGGGAGCAGCTATGAAAAAAGGGCAGATAGTTGTTGAGGTGCGAATGAAGAGCACTAGTTTGAGTGGAGAGAAATGTAGCGGTAAAGAGTACGCAATGATCATAACGGAATGTGAGTGGTCAAATTATACACGATCACTAACTCAAAGGAAAATGGTGAATGTTTGCTAAGGGAAGAAGTAGGAGTTGATAATTGTGGAGGGGAGGATATAAGTCGATGAGGAGAGGAGAAGCTACTGCGAAAAAGATTTCTTATGTGAGATTAGGTGGGTAAAGTAGGGATGATGGTAGGAACTGGGGGGAAGGCGTAGATGGTAGCTGAGGTGCGGGTGAACCGCACTAGTTCAAATGAGAAGGTCATGTGTGAATTTCATGGGTCAGTTGTACGTGAGGCCTGATGATTATGGATGAGTTGAAATTGCGTTGCAATCGTCAAGTTCTTTAACTATCTTTGGAACTGTGCTTGGCAAACTTCTTAGCAATCCTAAAACAACTTTGTCACCTGTATCTAATTTTTGCCAAAATAACCAGACAAAATTCAGGTGCCTATTTGGAAATGTAAGATGCCATAAGGGGACTGGATTGAAATATCCTGTAGGCATTTGATAAGATGTTGGTGTATTGCCTTGTCCGGGAGAAAGAAGCCGATTTCTCGTGAAATTCGGCACCCACTCTCGTCAATTTTACCACCAAGCAAGTGAATTTGCAGTCAAGTACATGAGGTGGTGAAGGCCAATCTTGTATTATGCGATTGTTTCTGCTACTCATGCAAGGGTCATTGGAGAGGGTTTGGCGATGCCTCCCCTGTACTTGTCTCTGCCCCTGTTCTTTGTTGGGCTAATTAGCAGATCGGGCAGTAGCATGGGAGTGGTTTAACCGACCCACCGCCGCCTAATTGACTAATAAGTGCTATGTTTACTGCAGATCTCCTTGTGGGCTTACTTTGACAGACTCGACGTTAATGTATGTCTGCAGGCAGCTAGCTGCATTCGGACTTAAGGTGTGCCATTGAGGAGGGACCAGAAGTGTTTCAGCAGTTACTTCTCTGCTGGTGCTGCTATTGCCTATTTCACGACGATTGCCAACACTGATAAGGAGTGGTTGGCATATGGCACTGGATAATGCAGTAGTGGTAAGAAGAAGGAGAATGTAGAGGAAAAGGAGAGGGAGAAACTTGAAGAAAAATAAATTAACGTCTCGATTAAAAACGGTCTGCAAAGTGTCTTTGTGTAAAGGGGGTGCCTCAAAAGCAGCAAAAGAACTGTGCAGGCGCCTCTACCTTTTTTCTTTCCTCAATCCCCACTTCCCAACAAATGCAGACGTGGCGACCTGCCAAAAAGCCACATTTTATCGTTTTATTGCGGCATTTTCGTGCATGATAGCTACGTTTAACTTTTAGATGTTAATATTAGCAGATGCTCTAATTCAACGCTAAAATGATGGTTGTGGAAAGAGTGGGCGAGTGCTTGCCAAGACAGATGGATTTGTGTTTACATAAGTCGGCTCTTGCATCCCATTTCTTCTCCTTTTTGCCATTTGCAGCAGGCTAAGGCAACAAATTGAGGAGCTTAAGAAGGCAATGCATAAAAAGAGGTAGCCACAGTCTTGATTAATATAGTGTCAAGTCTCTCCAGGCATCAAATGCTGCTCTACCCAAATATTGTGCCATTGAATTCCTTCAGGAATTATATGATAAATACATCTGCAAAGGAGATAAAGTACCGTGGTGAATTATTACAATTTTGTTCGTGAATAACAAATAATGACGATTTAATTGTAGGCCTAAATGACTACCATCCATTTGATTTTAAATGCGTCTCAATTCGATTATTTGAAAAGAAGCAATTATTTTGCACTCGGACGTATTGTTGAAATCAAAACACATAATTTGGCAATACTTTCCAGAATAGTTTGAGTAATTGGTAGAAGGGTTTATTAATAGGCCACAGGATATAATATTGCACTTGTGAGGATATTAGGAAGCATTGATGTTTGGTACAGAGATACGAGGTACGTTTAGACTGACGTGCGAGATATTTACCTACTTGAGGAAAAAGAACGAAGACCGATGATTTAAAACAACATTTAACTCTTGTCATAATTTACGCCTATTCCAGCTTCGACATAGGCAAATTTGCCCGTCAAACTGAACCATCTCGGGATACAGCGCACGCTAACAATCCAAAGTCATTATAATGAGTTCCTTCTTCCCGAAAAACTAACCCCTTGCACAATTTCAAATCGGCTGCCTTTCCGTTTAACGGACGTTCAAGATTGGGCGTTCCACTCACTGGCTGAATGTCCGTCGAATTGAGTGCTGCGATGTGGACCAAGCGAGACCGAGATTCATTGCTGACAAACCTACAGTCGCCTTTACGAAGTGTGCAGCATTCAATCAACTTTACCATAACCGAGTCACTGAATGTGTTGGCACCATTTTCGTACCGTGTTTGGAGGCTTTTGCAGCTCCGAGCATTAGCGGTCTTACAGAACACGCGATCACCTCTGCATGATCGCCTCGTTTGTTTGAGTAGCCTAATCAATGCAGTGCTTAAGAAGCCAAAAAAATGAGCATTTTATTTCGACTAAAATAGAAAGAACTAAGAGTAGGGAAAATGAGTACAAATAAAACATTTCTGATGGATATGTAATGGTCTACTATTTAGTTTAGGTAAGTTATTATTTGGTCAGGCGCTTTGGTCTTGACAAACTGCATCTCCACTCCGCAGCACGACTTTTGTGTCCAGACCAATAGCCACATAGACCTTCTGCTCGTTAGTTAAATACATGCGCAATAATTTATTTGATTGTTTAACTCTCGATTGTGATAACAGGGCCGCGTAGGGCCTCCGCTATCGAACCTTCCCTTTACCAGATAGGGTTCCAGCCCACTCCAAGTCAATAATTCATGTTATGCTGAAGCATTATCTCATCTTCCGTCCGTGGGGAAAGCTCGAGGCGCTGCAATAATAACCTTTTGTACTGCTCCAGTTTAATGTGACATTAAGGTAGACTTGCGATTCTACGTCCTTCCCAAACAGAGACAACTCGAAATGCGCAAAATTTTGTGTCCATTCAAATGGACTAATGAGTGATTCAAACAAATTTCGATTAAGTTAAGCCATGGGTTTTTGTTTTATTCCACAAAAATACTCGCGTAAATGAGCCTATTTAAACAAATTAGCATAGTATTGAATTAAGAAGAAAAAACAGGTGTTAAGTGGGTCATATCCACATACGTAGTTCAAGTTATCATAAAATTCCCACGGAATGTTAATTTAGAAGACTAAAATTTTCGGATGATAGATTTATTTGGAATTTGGTTGTGAAAGGATTGCAGTAAAAAAGTGCTACATTGCATTTTTCGCTCGTTGCCCCGGCATAATTGATCACAATAACTATTCCTCCAAGTAGCATGAAATATTCGACAGACGTGAATGTGATCATGAGCTTTGAAATCGAGCATTGTGCAGAACCGTTAGTTTTTATCATTTTACCTTCTGTTTAGTAGCTAGATATAGCATTTTTTTCTCAAGTTGTAATGAAACAAAGCAATGTAGAGGAATAACATATTACTAACCCATAGGAATACTGGAAGGCAATCAGTATTCCCCATTTGACGTGGTGCAGGTGGAAGCACAAACTGCGGATGGGGACTGAAGCATCTACGGAATTCAACACACATACATAAGCAAAACGCCTAATCTGCACACAGCCTAAATCTTCTCTTCAGAGTCGTTGCGACGACCCCCAGTTCATTTTCCTCCCTTGATAATCACAAAGAAGACGGTTGTTGAGAAACCACCCACACAACACTATCATCTGTAAATCCACACTGTCCTATATGGGAAGGCATTGGATGCATCCTTTGATTATGCAAAGACGCATCTCCCCACTTCCACTGTCTCTGTCGCACAGTTACGCCCTATTTACGACATCTATTAGGCGAGGCGAATGCACTCACTTCGTGCTGCTCAAGCTCAGGCCAAAATCCAGACTCAGACACAGATCGTTTTAGTTGCCAGCTGTAAGGCTGTTATCCCAAACTAAAGGCTGCTTAATCAACTACAAGACTTAAAGTAGTTTCACGGAGTCAAATGCTTCGCATCCACCCCACACGTCCTTGTCAATCGGATTCCAGTTCTCCGCACTATCGAGCCATTTGTCCGTCTCCTCATCTGGGTTCCATTCATTCAACTAACAGAGACGTG